ATGTGTCGATGGAGGGCAGTTCTTGACGAAGAAATTGTTCAATGTGAGTACCCTGCGAAATCAATCGAAAATGCCGATCGATTTTCGATTTTTTAGGACATTATTGATCCGACGCTGTACGGGCAAGTGGTGCTGTTTATGATTCCACTTTGGTTGCAACGTGTGCTAGCTTATCCGACAAAATTCTTCTTTCCACGTCTGGCTAATATGATGCATTCGATGGCTCTGAACACTGGAGGTTGGTAAAGTTGTTCCCTTGGCCAAGTGGTTTACGGCGTCATGTTGTGTTTGCGCAACCACAGGATTGATTCTTTCCCCGTGAAGAAAGACATTAAACTTCTAGTTCGCGGGAGGTTCTAAAAGTAAGTAGCACATTTCAGAACTTCGCGAAACCTACGCAGATATCGAAGACTATCGGGGTGATTTCGTAGTACTGATGCAGGAAAAGAAGCTGGATGCTCTCCTTTGCCCGCCTCAGGTTGGATTTCCAGCGTAAAAAACGCCAGATCTTCTCAAATTGGGCTTATCTGCAGGTGATGACAGCGCCGAAGCATCACGTGCCTGCTAAGTTGTTCGCGGCCTGCTGTTATACAGCAGTTTTTAATCTTCTTGACTTTGCAGCAGGTGAGTCACCAGTTACTCATCGGGACCACGTATGTAGCTTTTTAGTTATTGGTTAGTTATCGGTTCTATTTCTTCAGGAGTAGTCAAAGTTACGGAAGTGACGGCAGAGGATGATCGCAGATTGATTGATGAGTATCCTGAAACGGACCCGTGGTACAGATTAACCAAGGAGTCTTGCAAAGTACGTTCCTTGCTACCATAGAAGAATTTGACGAGAATGATCCCAAACCTTCCCACGGCGCGATTTTCACTCTTTTTCTTCTTCTCTCCAATGTCAGCCCCGCCAGTCGCAGGATCCGCTGTCTTTATATGTCGTCCCCACTTTGTTCTGTCTCTTCTGCTGTGGCCATAACATCACTCAGGTCCTTCTTGATAACGAATCTCCACCTCTTTTTTAGGATCCCTCGGTTGCTCGCCTTGCGCTTCGAAGGCCATCGCTTTCCTTATTGGGTGATTCCTGTGGCCTCCTTAGCACATGCCTATACCATTCGCTCACATTCAGTTGGGGAGGG